GGGGGGAAAAAAGCTGTTCTCCTCAGGGGTTAAAACTGAACAAAACCACAACCAGTTATTACGAAAGCTATACTAAAATAACAATATAAATAGTATCACTCTAACAATAGGAAACAAATTAAAAACTTAATATATCTAATCTATTTACCGGTCATTCCCTTAAATTTAAACTGTTCTTTGAGCAGTTCAATTCAAGAGCTCGCCTTGTCCTTGTACTTCTTCTTGTCCACAACAACGAACCACCAACATGTAATATCCACACAACGAACCAAACCTGTTTACCACTTCCTCTCTCCAACTTACTTCTTTTCCCGTTTACTTTTTACTCCGGTTTACTTCAGCTCTCCAGTTTACATCAGTTCTCCGGTTTACTTCACTGCTTCGCGGAGCAAATAATGGCTCACTGGCAGCCCTTTCCACTTGTTCTTCGACTACTATGGCTAGCTATTTTTCACTCGAGTTTCCCTGGCAAATGACTCTATGTCATGAATTTAAGGAGCCTTTGCTGAAGACTTCTCAGTAATGAATGTGCTTCTAAACGTTTTTTCCCCGCTTTCTGACTTCGCTTGCTAATACACTACAACTCACAGAAAACCCTCTCAACTCTTACAGTCCCGAAATCCTAAACATAATAATAATAATAATAATAATAATAATAATAATAATAATAACGATAATGATAATGATAATAATAATGATAATAATAATAAAGGCAAGTTGTTACAACCAAAGGATCGAAAAGAAAACTACTGGATAAGGACTAATTGCAAAAGTATACAACAGAACTGGTTACGTAATGAAAGAATACAAATTACATAATCAGGTGTTACGGAATAAATATACTTCTAAACAAGCTATTCCTTTGAGACGTAATTAAGCACTGCATGACAATCCTTAGGAGAATCGTGCATTTTTATGGCGCATTCCAGCTATACTTTGGCTCTTCTTGGAATTGACTGCGGACGTCTTCTAAGAAGTGCATCACTTGAATTTAATAAAAGATAAAAATTACCATTACCTAGATAAACGCGATACAGATCAGAATTAATATTATGATTGATATCGTTTGACCAATCATATTGCTGTCATTTGATTGGTCGGTGAGACTATAAAACGTTACCTGCTGCTGAGCTAAGCAGTAGCACAGTCCATGATCACTGGCGCAGCAGGCTAGCGAAAGGTGGAACAGAAGTATTGGGTAAGGTACAAGATTGTGTTTATATCACTTAATTCGGCTCTGTGTGTTCGGACCTCAAATACTGCGTACTCGCAAACAGGACTACTATACAAATCATACGTCGTGATCGTTAAATTACAAGAGATTGCCGCAATGGTATTAAATCCACGTTTTCCTTTATTTAATTAAACGGCACTCAAGTACCAAGCTTCGGATTACCAAGCATGAAGCTTGAATTCCAAAGATTTTGAGGTAGTTTTGGCAGAATGATCGACCGTCACAGAGGCTATAACAATCTAGTACAGCTATGCAAGCTCGCCTGCAAAAATGCTAAGCGTAAAATCGATTTCACAAAGTGGTCAATTGTTTTTCATGGGTGTGCCTCAATCATGTTCGCGTGATAACATTGCATGCAACCAGCTACACCTTTTAACTAACACAGAACGAAAAACTACTACAGTGTGCTAGTCCGATCTAGCCAAATTCAATCAAAGACGTCGAAGTTAAAAAGATGTCATGACAAAGAATATGGAACAAACTAACGAAATGACAAACAAAATTAATGTGCGAAGATTATAACGCGTGCTTTTTTTCGAGGGCGAGTACTTGAACAAGTTGGATCCATATTATACTCGAAATATCACTCCATCGATAAATATTGTTTCCAGCGTCAACCTCTTATCTTCAAAGAACTTTTGATCGACATGCCTAAAGAGCCTTTACCTGCAAAGCAAGATAATCAATGGGGCCATTGATTTTTACACGGGCTTACTTTATTAATTGGCACGTTTATCTGGTTTGAGAATAATATCACACTAAGCATACAGGAGAGAAGTGAAACAAAATGAACAAAGACATATTTTCAATACAGTGGTGATATGCATATATTAGAGTTTTTCCGCTCAACAACCTTAAAGATGCAAATGTATCCATTATGACATCGTGCATGTAAATTCCCTGCCCGTTCGATTATAAGGGCCTTTCTATTCTCTTTCGCTTCGCTCAGCCGAGTAGAAAACATTTCTATTATAATGAGTAGAGGAGACAAGTAACACGACAAATAGTGGAGGGAGCCGCCAGCAATGATCGAGCTTATTTACAAGAATCTGAGACACGCTGAATACAGGTTACAAGCCAAAGAATACAAGAAAATATCACACGCAATTTTAAACAACGATATAAACAATAAGAAAAAAAGAACAGCCTCGAGTAAACTGGTCGGCGTCAAGTGGTTTGATATTCACAAGGAGTGGTATATAAAGGCCTGATTATCCCGATGGGAACTAATACAAAGCAACCTAATTAAACACCTAAAAGAAATCCATGTTACTTCATGTCAAAACCTTCAAGGAGCTGACCTAGAATTGTGCATATTTCTTACTGAACGCCATATTTCCTTATTCGGAGACCTGTAGCGAAGAAGGAACAGTCACGAAAAAGCTATCATGTAAATAAAGAACGTTGGATCGAATCGTTAGTCTTATTACAATGATTTTCTAAAAATCTTCTTTATCTGAGAAGCAACAATTTACTTTTAAAATTTATCTGGTTTCCTAAGGTATTTGCGAACGCAAACGTAACGCAACGCAACGTGTGTTCTACATGAGAACCGGCAAGAAACACGATCTTCACCGTCACCGCCATATTGAAGGTCACTGTAACAACATCCATAAGGGAAAGGTGCGAGTGGGATTCTGGGTCGGAAAGTGTTCTGGCGAGAAAACTGCCGATGCGTATACAGGCTGGAAAACAATGTTCCGGATCTTCATTGAAGAGGTGCCAAAAGCTCAGCAGTAAACACGTTTCACGTGATCAATTGGATTTGTTAGAGGAACATTTGCAAAGTATTGATAGAAAAACGACTCTCGTTTTGTTTCAAAACGCTCATATCAACAAGATGATTTGAACCGTGTGTGTCACCTGAGAAATAAATAAAAGTCTTGGAACGCTCACAAAAGACCTCTGGTTTCAGTGAGTTTCAGTTATCCTGATTATTAATTTGTGGATTTCTAGCATAGATTAAAAAAAAAGGAAGACGCACTAATTGCACGAGAAAACTTAAATGTACAAAAGTAGCTAAAACTTAATTAAAGAGGTGCTCGAAATCCGTTGCCTAGTAATAAGCGGTTCAAAAGTGAACCGGTTTTACCATGGTTACAGCGCGACGTGCAATAATATGCGAGCGAGAGTGAGAGGAGGCGTTTTAAAACAAATGAATTAAATTTCTTGACCACAAACATTACTCTTTAAGCTTACTGATTGGTTCATTCAGTCTCAGTTATCTGCCAGTAAAGGCCCTGAGTTTGAGCCGTATATGCAAATGACAATGCTGACAAATGTTTATCATCACACAGAAGTAAGATTACGAGCTAGAGAATTTAAAACAATGTTAAGGTTACAACTTTTAACTCCGAAATTGAATTATCCCATAACAACACAGACGACCTTTGAGCAGATTTCTCCGAAGAATCAGAGGAACACGACAAAATTGTCTCGCCCGTTACGTTTCCTCGCGTTTCGTTTACCTCAGATAGAGGACACACTGCGCCACAAATTTTGCCTCTTTTCATTGGCATACCATCACTTCGTACTAAAGTGTCCATTATCCAATCCAGCCGATACAACAATTATGGGATGATTCTAACAAAAGTATGTATAAACTCGGGGCTATCCACCTGGTTTAATTTGTCATTCACCACCTCGTATATATCCAATGTGGCGTGTTCATGGAATACTGATAAGTGACACAAATTATCCAATTGAGCGTTCGACATCAGCAGTGGAAGGACGGTTAGCAGTGCGGGGGATGGCATTCATATAAAAACGAAGGAGGTTGCTCCTCCCTCTCGGGGCGGTGTTCCTCTTCAAAAGGTCCACAGTAGAGCGGGAACCGTTCGTGGTACGTTTTAGGGTATTCAGCCGACAAAAATATGACAGGAGATAAAGTGTTGTAGGAGTGAAAAAGAAAAAGAACATTCAAGCCGCGCTCACAAAGCAGGATCTCGGTAGTCCTATTAGGAGTTCTTTTCAAAATTTCGGACGAACACCCACGTCCTCTCTATATGGGAGTCCCTCCGGGGATTAGTTTGTCCGGCACTTCATGGATACTGCAGTGTACTCTATGTTCTCGTCCTATTCAGCACGAACGGTCAAAAAATCTTTTCACTGTCAGTTGCTCTAGTTGCTTCGTAGTTTCCCAGTGCATGGCTATTATATGACAGAGAAAATTACTTCATTGTGATTGGCTGAAAACCGGCGAATTTGCGCTACAGTGTAAATTGTCATTCGCAAGTTTCAACTTTCTCAGTCCTATAATAAATGAGTAATTTCGTGAAAGCTCAAGCAATTAAGGACTTGCACTTCTCGTGATCACTCGTAGTATAAAACCTTAATTGCACTCGCATTCATACGATGACCTATGCAGAAAGGATTAGAACTGCACGATTCACATTCTCATTAAACACGAAGAGCGCAATAAAGTATGACACCAAAAAAAGTGTGAGACTCCAGTTCTATCGCGGTTCAGAAAAAACAGAAAGGTCAACAAAGAAGGTCTCTCAGGAGATTTGGGGAACAATTTAACATGATCATTTATTTCAAGAGAACAAGCGATATTTGGGTATTAATTTGAAGGAAGATGGGTTGTCTCTACTATTAAAGGGAAGACTGACAATTAAGACGTTTTAGGGAACTAAGGGACAAGGGAGAAATAGTGAAATTTTTAAGGGATCAACTGAACATGTATATATCCCCCGCTGGGAGGCCCTCAACAAATCTTTCCTGCAAATAGAATTTGGTGTTATAATGAAAATAGCAATTTAATGCTTGTCATTTCCCAAATTTGTTTTGTCAAACAAATAAAAAGATTGTTTAACTTAGAAAAATAGTTAAAATTAATCAAATAAGTTCCCCTAGTGGCTTCTGGCTTTTATAGTAAAAGAATTTAATCGGCATGTTTGGGTCACAAGACTGCTCAGTCGTGAAGGCTTACACCAAATGGGTCCTAGAACATGATAAGGAAATAAACAAAGAGGACCGGACAGAACGATATGGCAACTACGTTTGTATCACAAGGGGTGTTTTTTGAGGTGGGGGAGGGAAACGTTTAGTATCGCTTCCTGTATGTAAATTATTCCGTGCTTTACTTTTTCTTTATTTTCATGCTGAGAAAAATTTTGCTGTAGAATTCACAATAAACACGGTAGAAAAACAGAAAAACTGGCTTCCCACTACTAAAAAACAGAATAAAAAGAAAGACGTTAGCCAATTCGGACGTCGTAGATTAGGGTCGGCAACCGTCATAGAATAGCACAGCGTGTTTAATAACGAAAATAGGAATTTAACATGTAGGTTGTTTGACAAATATGTTGTGACTTGTGCCTCGTCAAACACATTAGAAGGGTTGCTTAACTTAGAAAAACTAACTGAAGACTAATAAAATTTAAAAAACAGTTATGGACTAAAGAGCCGCAGTCGTGAAGACTTCATTTTCCACCTTACCGGTAGTATATAACTGCTGTTAAGGAAGGAATTGCTGGTACGTACTTCGAAATATAGCAACACAAACACAGCGTGTTGAAGAAATGAATGACAACTATATTTTGAAATACCCCGAGGCAGGGAGTCAAAAGTTTTCTTTAGTACCTCTTCCTGTATATTGTTCTGTGCTTTACTTTTTTCAGTTGCTCTCATGCTGAGAAGAAGTTAGTGAAAAATTCACATAAACCCAACAAGAAACACTGAAAAAAGTGACTCCATTAATTGACCAAAAAATAAAAGAATAAAAAGAAAGTCGTTGGCCAATTTGTCCTAGATGAGAGTTAGCAACCATAACGAAAATAGGAGTTCAATTTGTAGGTTGTTTGACAAATATGTTGTGACTTGTGCTTCGTCAAGCACATTAATGAAAGGGTTGCTTAAGCTCCCTAATGATGTGTCTGAACATACAGCGTGTAAAGAAAAAATGTGGTCACGCGCGAAGTATCTCTAGATCTGCTGTAGGCTGCCACGGAATTTCATCT